AAAAAAAAGGACTTAGCTTAAATGGATTCATAGTCCATTTATATCTGCTTAAGTATAATTTATATTTAAATTGGATTTTTGAATTCCTGTCTACTCAGAGGAAGCAATTGTCCTTAAAGGTTATTACCTACTGGCTAGATGTTAAACACACACACACACACACACACACACACACACACACATACATGCGCACGCGCGCGAGCGCACAAAACTTAGAAATTGTTTCCAATTTTAAATTTGGAAATAAAAACAGTTGTCATTGTAGCAGCTACATTATTACAAATTACATTATGTCTTTGTCATGTTGCACCATTCTCTTTATTCTGTAATTGAGATTACTACCTCAGCATAAACTGTGATTTTAGAAATATCTCAGATGGTACAGAGTTCTGAGCTTCAGCTGTTTTGTTTTGGACAGCTGGTCTGTATCTGAGGATTGTGTATATGTCAGAAACATTATTCGAAGAAATCTTTCTTGAGAATGGGATAATCTGTTTTTAAAAATTTTGGAATTTTTAAATAATTTTTTTGCTAATTTCATACAATGTATTTTGATCATATTTAGACCCCTTCTCCTTTCTGTACCCTCTTAGAGCCTCCCACTGGGTTTCATTTCCCACTCTGTCATATATGTTAAGGCCTAGTGAGCCAAGTTTGTGTTCCCAAATGTCCTTTGGTGTATATTCATTCACTGGAGCCTGGTTAACCTATCTAGTGTCACATCCTTAGAGAAAACCAACTCTCCTTCTGGTCATTGGTTGCCAATAGTTCCTCACCTAAGATTGGAGCTTCTTACCCATTTCTCCACTTTTATGCTGGGATTTTGTCCGGCTTGAGCTTGCATGGTCTTGTGCATGCTGTTGCCAATACTGTGAGTTCATATGAGTAACATTTCAGTTGTCTGGAAAACTCAGTTTCCTGTGGATTAGCCACTATCTCTGGCTCTTACAGTCTTTCTGTCTCCTCTTCTATAATGGTCCCTGAGCCTTGGGTTGCAGAAATTCGATAGGTGTCCTATTTAGGGACAAGCACTCTGCAGTCTCTTATTCTCTGCACTTGGCCAGTTGTAGCTTTCCGAGTTAATCACCATCTGTTGCATGAGGAAGCTTCGCTGGTGAGAGTTGAGAGATACATTAATATTCTTTCTTCCTGTTCCATATTCTTTTCTGTTCCATTATGTTCCCTGAGCCTCAGGGTTCAGGTTCCATTGTACATGTGTCACTGAGGAGTGGGTACCTCACAGACACTTATGCTCTGTGTGTGACCAGTTGTGGAACTCTGTAATAGTCTCCGTGTATTGCAAAAAGAAGCTTCTTTGATGAGTGGTGAGAGGCACACTTGTCTGTAAATATAGGGTACATATTTAGAATACAATAAAAAATTACATTTGTCTAGGAATGTGGCAAAACTAGGTTTTTTTCCCTAGGATTTATAGCCGTGTGTATTTGGCTGTGTGTCACACATGAGTTCCCCCCTACTGAGTGAGCCTTAAACCCAATTAAACAGAATGGAGTAATCTTTAAGTGAAAAAACATTTTGTGTCTTAATTTTTTTAAAAATATTTTATTTATTATTTTTATTTTATGTGTATGTGTGTATTGCCTGCATGTAGGTAAGGGCACCCGTGTCATGCAATACCCACAGAGGACAGAAGAGGCTGTCAGATCCCCTGGAACTGGAGTTATGAATCGTTGTTATCTGCCGTGTGGGTGCTGGGATTCAAACCCCAGTCTTCTGCGAGAACAGTCAGTGCTCTTAACCGCTGAGCCATCTCTCCAGCCCCTGTGTCTTAATTTCTAAGTGGTTGCTGAACTCCATTGGTTTTATAAGATTGTTGGTTTTTTTTTTTTTTTTTTTTTTTTTTTAAATCTGGAACTTGCTGTATAAATTAGGCTGGCCTTGAACTCACTGAGATCTGCCTGCTTCTGCCTCCCAGGTGCTGGGATAAAAGACATGTGCCACCATGTCTGACGCTGGTTCTATACGTTTTGATTTTCAGTGCATTGCCATTTCTTCCAGTTGGGTATAGGTTAGAGGATATTTTTGAGTTTGGACATTTTAGATACTTTTTATTGATCCCTGATCTGAAAATTCAAATGACTACATCATGCTCAAAAAGTTTTGGAATCAAGAGCATTTTAGATTTCAGATTTTCAATTAGAGGATACCTAGGTTATAAGGTTGGTAAATATTCTGAAATCTAAAGCTCCATAAAATGGGTGCTCAGCTACCTGGGTAGCATTGTTTTTTCATTCTTGGGGTGATTTCTTCCCATAGATTTGTGGTTGTGATGCAGATACACTAAATTTCAGCTTTTTGTTCTAGGTCTTCACTGTACTTATCAGACTCAGATGCTTTATGTTCCAGATTTACACTGGACAGCTTAAAAAAATCTCTCATTCCATCTTCACCCTAGGCAAACCTGTCTCTATTCTAGGTGAAAATAGCACTGTTAAGTAACAGTCTGTGGCAAGTTAGTGATAGCTTAGAACCCAGCCCTAGACTCCATAAGGGTTCAGAGCTCTTTCATTGTACAACTTGTTTTGGTCTTTAGTACAAAAGCTTTAATCTGTATCTAGTTGATAGAGTTTTCTAGAAACCAATAGGGAAGAGAGTCCTTTAAAGCTTTTCTGTAGGATTAGCTGATTAGATTTTGAGAGAAGATTTTGATAGAATTCCCATTATTGCTTAGTATCAGGTATGACTTCTCTTTTCAATCAGCAAAAACCGCCCACATTAGTTAGCTTCTATAGAGAAGCTTCTTTTCCCTCTAATAACAAGGAGGAATAAGGATGTTTCCTAGTAAGTAGTGCCGGAAGATTTCTCAGATGGTGGTTCATTTATTTAGAGGATAAAGTCAGTGAAGAGATGGTGTTTTTGAGTGTTTCTGTCGAAAACAGCTCTGTGTATTAATTCCTTTAAGAGAGCGGGAACGAGAGAGACACAGGCACCGGGACAGCCGAAGATCACCGTCTCTGGAAAGGTCCTACAAAAAAGAGTATAAGAGATCTGGAAGGTAAGCAGTTGCAGGATTATCTCCTGAAATTCAGACTTTGTGCTTATGCAGCTGTCAGCCACGTCCTCCGAGCTCAGTCTGGCAGGTGACCGAGAAAAGCTCAGGCGGCCGAGCACTGAAATTTGCTCTCCAGATAAATTGATTCTGTGGGAGGGAAATCTTGTAGCTTTCCTCAAATTAGAAATTATATAGGCCACTTTATCTGACTACAGTGTTATAAAATTGTAAGTGTATTCTAAAAACTGTAAATATGTTTTATCAAGTTTTAGAAATTCATTTTATACTCTTAAATTTATTTTATCAGGAAAGAACAAACTTTGCAATCACATTCTCTTAGAAGAATGGCATTAAGAATGCTGTAATACAAAACCAGCTCTATGCCTAGAGTAAAATTTGTGCATGGTCTTATATCTTGGTAACTCAGAGTAACTGGCATTCTGGAGTCTGACAGATTTGGGTTTGATTGTTAGTGTTCTCAGCTTTGTTATTGGGTAGAGTTATTCAACCTTTTGAAGCCTCAATTCTTTATCTGTAATATGAGTAGTCATATTTATTGATTGGTAAAGGGTCACTGAGATAATAATACACATTAAACACTTAGAACCAAGTATGTATAATTTTTGAGTACCTGACTTTAGAAGTTGGTAGAGTATAAGAAGAGCAGAAAAAGTGAGTGAGAAAAAGCTGAGTATTGTTTACAGCTGTAATCCCAGCACTTGGGAGTTGGAGGTAGGAGGATCACTTTGAGTTTGAGGCCAGCCTGGGCTACAGTAAGTAGTAAGTTTCAGGCTAGCCTGAGTTACAGAAAGAGACCCTGTCTCTAAAAGAAAAAAAAAAAGATTTAAATACAAAATAAGTTAGTGAAATTGAAATAAAACTATCACAATATAACTACATTAGTACACAGATGCAGAGTCTTTAAAGTGACAAATGAAGAAATGTGCATATCAGGAGTGACGCATTTTGTTACAGACATATAGATGACTAAAACATTATAAAATGAAATAAGGACAGACGAAATACTTGAATGTGATGGGTTGGATTCTAGGAAAACAAAATCACAGATTTCACGTGAGAAGCACAAAGCTGGGAGCTGGGAAGATGGCTTGTCAAGAGTACATACTGCTTCTGCAGAGAACCTGGGTTTGGTTTCCAGCTCCCATATGGGGGCTGACAACTGCCTGTAACTTTGGTTCCAGTGCTTCCAGTGCCTTCTTCTGGTCTCTTTGGGCACTGGGCATGCATGTAGCAAGCACTCACATAAACTGAAAATAAATCTTAAAGAAATGGGTTGGAGAGATGGCTCAGCATTTAAGAGCACTGGCTGCTCTTGCAGAAAACGTGGGTTCCGTTCCCAGCACCTGCACAGTGGCTAGCAACCCTTAGTAACTCCAGTTCCATGGGACTCAGTACCTTCTTCTGGCCTCCGCTGACATTGTATGACAAGGATGCACTTACACATATGCAGGGAAAGTACTCATAAAATAAAAGTAAATTAAGAAAAGGAACAGGAAGCTGTAATAGGGCAATAACTGAGAAAACAAAAAAGGTTTAATTTGTACAATGTCCCAAAAAGTTTTAAGGTGTTCTAGGACATTTGAAGAAGGAAACTCAGCTTGTGGTTGTATAGCAGGAAAAGAAAGTTACAAGGTGGTTTCTCTTAGGAATAGGAAAACTGATTAGAATACTAGCAAACTATTTTCAATAGTGTGCTACAGTTATCAGTATAGTTTATTATAGGGTTACGTGGGTAGATAGGTTAGTATTAGAAAATCTATAATTCTGGGCTGGAGAGATGTCTCGGCAATTAAAAGCACTTTCTGCTCTTTCAGAAGACCTGGGTTCAGTAACCAGCACCCACATGAAGGCTAACAGCTGTTTTATAACTCCAGTTCAGGGGATCTGATTCCCTCTTCTGGCCTCTCTGGGCATTGCACACACTTGGTGCACTTATATACCTACAGGCAAAACCACTCATACATGATCTTAGCTCTTGACCTTCTCTGCTAGCTAAGTAAGAACAAGCCTATTCTTTTCATGTCAGCTCACCCTGGTCCTTGGCCCTCTTCTACTGAGGTTGCCTGAGAGTACCTGACTAGCCAGGATGGAGACTACTACAGAGTTCCATAACTGGTCAGTCGCAGAGAATAAGTGCCCATGAGACACTTAACCCTAAGTGACACACTTTCAATGCAACCTTTACACATAAATGCATCTCTCAGCTCTCACCGCTGAGAAATTTCCTTATTTAGCAGATGGTGATTAACCCACAATTGGCACATGTGCAGAGAACAAGAGGCTGCAGAGTTATCCCTGAGTAGGACACCTATTTTAAACCTTTGCCTCCCCCAGCTCAGGGATCATAGCAGAAGGAGGTGGAAAGCTTGTAAGAGTCAAAGGAGGTGGATGACCACAAGGAAATACTTTCAGACACCTGGTTAGTTACACATATGAACTCAAAGCAATGGTGTGACTGCATGCAGAAGTCCTCTGCAAGCTCAAACCAAACAAAATCCCAGCATGGACATTAGGAGGTGGATAAGAAATCCCAATCCAGCCTAAGGAACTTTTGGCGTTTGATGGGTGCTAGATGGGGGAGAGACAGTATCTTATAGAGATGGGACTGTTGGTGGGGCCAGTGGATGGACCCACACTGAAGGACATTTGGGGACACAAATCAGACTCTATAGGCTGTATCATATATATGTACATTAAACTTGGTGGGGGGCAGTGGGTAGGAGGTGCGGATAGTAGGGGAGGGGATCTAAATACCATCAAACTATATTGTATGAAAATCATAAAAACTCAATTAAAAATGGAAAAATGTAAATTAAAAAATTTTAAATATTTTATTATTATTTTATATGTATTGCCTGCATGTGTGGAAGTGCACCTGTGTCATGCAGTGCCCATGGAGGTCAGAAGAAGGTGTCAGATCCCCAGGAACTGGAGCTACTAATGTTTGTTAGCTGCCATGTAGGTGCTGGGAATTGAACCTGGGTCCTCTGCAAGAGCAGCCAGTGCTCTTAACTGCTGAGCCATCTCTCCAGCTCCTCAATAAAAACCTTTTAAAAAATGAAAAAAAAGACTCACAAAATAAAAACAAATCAAAAAACAAACCCAAAACTGTACATGTTTGAGTTAAAAAATCGATTTGATTATGTCAGTATTTTCCTACTAAGTATTTAAAATAAAGCCAGTATTCACTTATGAGTAAAAACTTTAGGAATAAAAGACTTTACTTCTGTATTGATAAATACTACCCCTTGACGAACATGATTTATAGTATCTGAAAAAAGCCACGTTTAATGTTGAAACCCCAAGGCCTTCCCGTGCAAATCAGAACAAAGACAAGGACGTCCTCTTGACACCAAACAGCAGATTAAAAGCAGCATCCTTGTGTGCGCCAGGTATTGTGCTAGTATGAAAGTTACACTCATTTCCATTTTATAGGTGGAAAAAAAGAGTCAGGGCTTTTGATGGGAGCAGTGCCATGTTATTCTGGAACCCAACAGTGAAATACCTGGTGTAGAGTAGATCTAGAAGATTTTTACTGATACATGAAAGAATGAAGTGGGTAATGAGAACTGTAGGGGAGGAAGTAGAGCATGTTTGCTGGCCTCAATGTAGAGAAATGTTCTAAGAGGGTCAACCCTGGGTGTCAGGAAATGAGCTTTGAAAGCTTCTTTATTAATCTTCGAGAGACGTCATGACCTGGCTCATGGCAGTGACTGTGGTAATAGGGTAGGAATGTGTAATTAAGATATGTATGAGATGATCAGTAGGACTTGATAACTGGTCAGATGCAGTAGGGGCAGGGGGAGAAGGGCCCAGTCATGATCCTGAGATCGGGTATTCTAGTTGTGGGTGGGGTACACTAGAAAGGCAAGGATGAGTTCAGCTTGGGCTTTTGTGAATCTGTGAGATAACCAAATGCTGTTGTTCTGATGGCTATTCAGGTATAGACTTCAGAAAGAGATCCTAGTATGGAATGCCAAATGCTAAATGCCATGGGTTAGCTGAGAGTGACCAGGAAGAGAAGAGCCCGGAGGAACAGAGGAGATGGGGAAAGCCCGGATGCTGTGTGGTAGACATCGCTGAGGGCCTATTTGAGTTGTGATTTTAAACTGTAGTGATGGGATGTCTTCATAGTGACCTCTCTAGTGGTAGCAGAGTGAAAATGGAAGAGGCATATGTTGTAAAGGAGGAAAAGTGATCAGTTTGTAGTAGAGCTTGTTAAGATGAAACTGTAGAGTTTTGATTTTGAGTGCCTGAGACCAAAAATAGATATTTTGTATGTTTTGAAATTCCTCTCTCAAAGTGTCAAAAAAAAAAAAAAAAACAATCAGAAAATGAATACCAGTTGACATTGTTTACAAAGACAAACTTGACCATCTGTGATGCTGAAAGGGGATGGATTGGGGATGCCCTTTGCCTGTGTTTCTTGATACCGGTAATGATGTTAGTTAAATTTTTGGTGAGATTTTAAAGAAGCATGTCAAAATATTTGTATCAACTATATTAGCATTTAACTACCACTTTTCAGCTCTTTAACATTGGGTGGGTTACGGATTCTGTTTCCTTCTCTGTAAGGTATGTTAATATCTGCCGCATAGCGTGTTTATGTGTAAGGATTGAATGTGAAAATGTCAGTAACGTGCTTAGGGGATGTTAGATTTATAATAAGCACTAAACAAACAAAAAGTACCTTGGAGCTAAGAGTGGCCACCAGCAGTATTTCAATATTAATAGTGTGCCCAAATACCAAGAATACCTACTTACAGAATGTAATGGAAAAGGCAGAGTGGATTGACTGCCACACTTTAAGATAAAACATCTTATAACAAGCTTAGAAAAAAAAAAATAGGACCAGTGGTAAGAAAACTGTAAGCTGTAGCTAAGGATAGAGAAGGTAAAGTGAGCTGACATCTTTTCATAATCCTGTAGTAGAATCCATGATGCAAAAACAACTTTCTTCAAAATAATTCTCATTTTAAGTGTAACCAGTTGAAGATTTTAGGACTTCACAATGATTGTAAATTTTTCTTTGGAGTAGAAGCTAGGATAATGAAAAAAATAACGCAGCAATGCTTTAGTAGTATTAAATGTTCAGAAAATACATAATTTAAAATTTCATTGTGGGTGTGAATATATCAGTGAAGCAAATGTTGAGCATAATTCAAGTATATCTAATAAAAAAGTGTAAGGTTACATCAAATACTAATACAGGTGTTTTAGAAACCTGCAGTTGGCAGGCCAATTAGAGGACAAAACTAATTAGATTTCTGCTTTATATCTTGGAGAGGCAGAGTAAAAACATTAATGGAAAATAAGAAAACAGGAAATACTTAACTTTCAGCATTTCTTGGGAGGAACTTTCTAAGCAAAATAGGAAGCATAAATAGGGAAGATCTGTACATTTGACTTTAACCTATAATAAATTAATTGTTTTAAAAGGAGAACAAAAAGCTAGAAAAGTTTATAGAACTTATGACAGAAAATAGAAAATTATCATAATTAAAAATTCTTCCAGTGAAGTGAAAAAACTATTATTGTAATTTGAAAAATATTGGCATCGCATGTGACCAGAATATTCACAAAAGTCACATGAAATATAGTCATTTCATCAGCAGTAGAAATTGTGTGCTCACTTCAGTAGCACATTTACCAAAAAATTGAAATGGTATGGAGAAAATTACTGTGGCCTCTGTACAAGGATGACAGGCAAATTCATGAAGCATTCCATTTTTTTTATAATAGGATGAGTGAGAGTAATCTGAATATTACATGCTTGTATGAGATTGTCAAAGAACAATTTATTAATAAAAAATTACGATCTACGTTCCTTTTTCCATCAGAAGGCAAAGATGTAAAAGAATCGTTTTGATAAGATGTGTGGAAATGGAAACTTGACATGTGTTTTTGATGGATATTTAAACTGGTACTACATGTCTGGAGAGAGGTCTTTTGAAAAAATAGACACACTTTGGGAATTGACCTGACAGATGTGCAAAGAACATAACTGTGTTCATGACAGTGTTCACAGTAGGGGAAAATGCTGGCTTAAATGACTGGCATTGGATTTGTTAAGCTATAGTGTACACAGGTAGGAGAGCAGCAAGCTATGGTGGTGACATGTGCCTGTAATCCCAGTACTTGGGAGGGGAGCAGGAGGAGCAGGACTTCAACAGCAGTCTCAGCTGCAAAGTCAGCTTGAGGTCAGCCTGGGCACCGTGAGACCCTGCCTCAAAAAAAGCCCCCAAAACTCAAAGCCAAAAGAACCCATGAAAAATGGTTCAGATATAGGTGTATTAAAATAAAGACAGCTGGGCTTGCTGGCGCATGCCTTTAATCCCGGCACTTGGGAAGCAGAGGCAGGCAGACCTCTAAGTTTGAGGCCAGCCTGATCTATATAGTGAATTCCAGGCTGGCCAGGGCTATATAGTGAGGCCCTGTCTCAAAAACAACAATAACGAAACACAACAAAAAAGGGAATATATTCTGATTTATTGTTGAATATGAATGGCAGTCTGTAGAATTCATTTGTTGCTTTTGAAATGTGTATATATACACATATGCTTGAAAAATTTATGAAATACAGTTGTTGTCTATGAGTGATGTTTTAGAATTTTTTTTAAACCTATGCTTTATTTTTCTTTGCTTTTTGTTTTGTTGTTGTTCTTCAGAGAGGGTTTTACTATGTAGCCCTGACTGACCTAAAACTTGCTACATAGAGGAGGCTGGCCTCAAATTTGCAGCAGACCTCCTGTCTCTGTTTCTGAGTGCTGTGATTATAGTATATACTACCAAACCCGGGTTATACTTTCTCTTTCTGCAGTGAACACACTGTTTATTTGTGGGTGGGTGGGTGTACGTGCACACATGCATGTGCCATCGTGCATGTATGGAGGTCAGAGAACAGTTTTCTGGAGTTGGTTTTCTCCTTCTACTATGTAGGTTTTAGGAATCAAACTGAGGTCATCAGACTTGGCAGCAAGTGCCTTTACTCACTGAGCCATCTTACCAGCCCCATACATTTTATTTTGACTAGAATTTTTTGTTTTCTGGTAACAAAACTAGTGATGCATGTTGTAATACATGTTTTTAGAAGTTATAGAAGTTATCGATTTGCATGATCTTTCTGTTCCCTCCAAGAATACACAGGGAGAGCGAGAGAGAGAGACTTTCTCTGTTATACAGTTAGGAGCTAGTGGTAGTGTTAATGAGAAAAAAATTTTTTTGAGACAGGGTCTCAACTCTGTAGTTCAGGTAGCCTGTAACTTACTGTGTGGTCAGGCAGTCTTTGAACTCCCCAGTCTTCCTGCTTCAGCCCAGCAAGTGCTAAGATTATAGACATGAGCCACCAGGCCTGGCTCCAAATAATTTTTTTGACTTTGAGCCAGAGGTAAACTTTCTTTGGGTAGTAACTTTACCAGTGGAACAACAGGGACTTCCTCCTGATTTAATAAAGCAATAATTCTTCCTAGCTGCCTTTTTAAAAGAAAGCTCTTAGGTTTTCTCTAAATTTCTTGGGCTTAAATTAGAATCTATGCTGTAGCTTTTTTCTTCCAACTTTATCCATAGGATGAGTCTTTATGTATTGTAAGCCCCAGGGATTTGAGGAGGCATAGTAGATTTTTTATCCTTAGTTAGCCAAAGTTGTAATACCAAAGTCTGGATTTCCAGAGAAATGGTTAGGAATGCTAGTATTGATTTCCTCAGATTATAGTTCTTAGGCTCAATTCATAGCCAAGTAGATCAATATTTTCTAAGTATCTTTTTCTTCTAGGAGTTATGGTTTGCCAGTTGTTCCTGAACCTGCTGGATGCACACCAGAATTACCTGGGGAGATTATTAAAAATACAGATTCTTGGGCCCCATCCCCGGAGATTATGAATCAGTAAGTAGATCTGGGGTAGGGCCTGGGAATTTGTATTTTTAAACAAGTAAACCAGGTGATTCTGATGCTGCCACACTGGCGTTTGGGAATCACTGGTTTAGTGAAAGTCAGTGTGGCACATTAGTATGGCATTTGTATTTAAGTGGAAAATGCACCAGGTAACTTTGATAGTAGAGGAGTATTTTTAGTAACTAACCTTTGCCTCCTTTTGAAGTCACTCCCCAAGCAGGGAGAAGAAGAGAGCTCGCTGGGAGGAGGAAAAAGACAGATGGAGTGATAGCCAGAGCTCTGGCAAAGAGAAGAATTATACTTCCATCAAAGAAAAAGAGCCAGAGGAGATACCACCTGACAAAAACGAGGAGGAGGAGGAAGAACTTCTTAAGCCTGTGTGGATTCGATGTACCCATTCAGAAAGTTACTACTCCAGCGACCCCATGGATCAGGTGGTAGGTCTGAAGTAGGGAGGGATTTCTTCACCTCAGCACTGTTGGCATTTTGGGCCATATCATTCTTTGTGGGAATTGCCTGTATATTATAGGATATTAAGCAGTACCTGTAGGCTTTCCCCATTAGATGACATTAGCACTCCTCCCTAATGCTAAGAACCAAAAATGTCTTCACATATTGCCACATATCCCCTGAGGGGCAAAAATCACCTGCTAATTAGAAGTGCTACTATAGAGAAAAGATAAGGCAGAGGCAGGCAGATCTCTGTGAGTTCAAGGCCAGCCTGGTCTACATAGTGAGTTCCAGGACAGCTTAGGCTACAAGGAGACCCTGTCTCAAAAAAAAATCAAAGGCCAAGAGTATAGTAGCTAAAATAAATATTCTGTGTTCTTTGACACCAGTAGTCTTCATACTGGTACTTTCATGACCTCCAACCTGTAGCTAGTTTATGTAATTTATGGCATATACATATGTATATATTTTTCTCCCCAAATGGGAAATGTTGAAGGATTTGTGCTTCATACTAAAGTATGTCCTTGACTAAAAACTTACCAGTCCTACCAAGTTTCACTGTGTCTTGGTTAATAAGGGTGGAATATGGGTTGTGTCTTCTTGTAATGGCATAGTTGATTGAGAGCAGTGGCTTGTTGTCACTGCCCAGCATCCCTAGCGAGGATCATACAACATATTATTAATTTGAGAAACAATCAAAACCCCAAAATTGAAGTAACTTGCAAAAAAAAATTAGTTTGTATGTGTTTTGGGGGTGGAGTGTGATTCTTTGTGTCTGTGTGTGTGTGTCTGTGTGTGTAGGTCAGAGGAAAACTTGTGGGAGTTGGTTCTACCCTGTGGGATTAAATTTGGATTGTCAGGCTTAGTGGCAAGTGCCTTTACCTGCTAAGCATTCTTATTAGTCAGTTTCTACAGAATGTGTTACTTTTGGATCATCAGTAGCTTCTGTTGGGACCCTTAATATGTAGAGAACTTAAACAAGATTTCCTTGTCTTTGGAAGAAAAAGATTTGAGGAATCCATAATAGGGGTATGATACTTGATAAGCTGGAAGAGGCTTTTCTGTCAGATAATTTATGGGATAGAGTGAAGGGAAAGCTCATGTGTTGAACACTTTTATAGTACCAGCATTTTATTCTATGTTTCTTCTATTATTTTAGTTAATCTTCACAAAATTCCTGGTAGGATGTCAGTATCCTGCCAGTTAGGCATGCTTCTATAAGAAATAATACTAAAAGCTACTTAAATGAGTTGGGTTTAGTTTTCTTAGAACAAGATATGTAGAGGGAGGCTGTCCTAATTTGTTTCTCCATTGCTGTGACAAAATACTCTGACTAGTACTAACTTGGGGAGGAAAGGGTTTATTTTATCTTACATCTCCCATGTCACAGTTCATCAGGGAGCCCAAGGTAGGAACGCAGGGCAGGAACCTGGAGGCAGGAACTGGAGCACAGGCCATGGAGGAACACTGCTTACTGGCTTGCTTCCCTGGCCCCTGCTCAGCCTGCTTTCTTATGCAACATAGGCCCACCTGCCCAGGGGTAGCATTACCCACAGTGGGTTGGGCCCTCACATCACTCAGCAATGAAGAAGATGCCCCACAGACATGGCCACAGGCCAGTCCAAGAGGCAGTTTCCCAGTTGAGGCTCCCTCAACCCAGGTGTGTCAAGTTGACACTAAAGCTATACAGCACACAGGCCATGGCCAGAGTTTGCTCAGTGGCTCAGGGATGGTGGTCTGATGTCAAGCATCCTCCACACAGTTGCAGGATGTTGCAGTACTTTTAGGCATCATGTTCTTATACACCTGTGTCTGCACACAGGACGCAGAGGGCATGCATCTTGTCAAGCTTTTCCTTTATCCTTCGCCAGAGCTGTCTCACTCATCTCCTGGGATTTTGGTTTCCATTACTGTCATAACAAAGCTTTATAAGCTCTGTGGTTTAAAACAGCATGCATTTATCATTTCACAATTCCACAGGTCAGAAGTTCGGCTGAATCTTACTGGCTAAATTAGGGTGTCAGAAGGGTTATGTTCCTTTCAGGAGCTCTAGAGAAAAATCTTTCCTTGTTCATGAAATTGTTGGCAGTTCTCTTCTTACCTGCATCCCCTTGTTTGTGGATTCCTTCCTGTCTACAAAGCCACAAACAAGGTGAAAACTTGATTCCACCTTGTGCCTTGAAGCCTTTGTCTTGTTCCTCTGTTTGACCTTTGTTGGCCAGGGTTCTCCACTGTTACTTGATCCACCCATGTAACCCAGGTTGATTTCTCCATCCCAAATTTTATGACGTTAATCTTAAGTCCTTTCTTTCTGCTGTGTAAGGTGACATTTAGTTTCTGGGGATTAGGATGCTTACATCTTTGAGAAGAGGTTAGTGGTGACCTTTCCTCAGATCTGTGCTTCTTTATTTAGAATCTGAATAAAATCATGGTCCTCCTTGCTGGGAAGAATGGCTACTGTAGGTATTATTATTGTTGTTGTTACTGTTTTTGAGACAGCATGTCACTGTGTAGCTCAGGCTGGCCTGAAATTTTCAGCCATCCTTTTGCCTCAGCCTCCTGAGTGCTGGGATTAAAGGTGTGTGTCACCGTGCCTGGCTCAGGTATAAACATGCCGACCCTAACATCCAGAGACTTTAAGTGGGCACAGCTGCCTTTTTCTTATACTATTCTAAGCATGTTATTAGATAGGAAGCTGAGAAGTCCTCTAGTCTAGTACCTGCCTTTGAGTTTTGTCATCTGTGGCACAAAGAAGGTATAAGAATGTCAGCTGTCATGGCAGAGAATGTTTTAGGAATGAAGAGGGCCTAAAGAAAAGCAATTTCTTACTTCTCTGGGTAGCAGATCACCATGATTTGCTTTAATTTTATTTTTACATATGAAAGATCTGTTTCTTATATTTTGAGGAAACAAGAGTCTGGGCATTTAAGGTGATTTTCATTCTGGAAAGTGGGCAGAAGTGGAGAACTTTCTGTAGGGATGTGTTGTTAGATTCTCTGTGCTTATTGGGTGTGCTTGTGGGGGGGTTGGGGTGGTATACACTATTTCTTTTTGCTTCAAAGGTCATAATATTTTTTAATGTCTTATTTAATGGGCATAGGTGAACAGTTTCCATGCTGCTTAATCTTGGCAAAGGGCATTTACCTGATCTACCAGGCATACAAGTCTGTGTTTGATTCAAAGGATCACTATCAGCATTGGGAATTTCACTTTTCAATATTCACTAAATTGGGGGTTGAAAAATCGCATCTTGTTAAAAATTCTTGGTATGGTGATTATTAATATAGCTTCTCATACTGATCCTTTGTTTTGAAAGGGAGATTCTACTGTAGTTGGAACAAGTAGGCTCCGTGATTTATATGACAAATTTGAAGAAGAGTTGGGGAACAGGCAAGAAAAGGCCAAAGCCGCTAGGCCTCCATGGGAACCTCCGAAGACAAAGCTGGATGAAGATTTAGGTGAGTGGAGAGCCACTGGACCAAGACTACTCGTCATTACTGCTTATTCCTGGCCTTTTGGAAAATGCCCTTCAGAGTCCCAAACTGAAATCTTTTTCACTTTTCCTTCCTTAGCTGTAGTCAGCAAGAATACCTAACAGTGGAATCTCCCTCTTTTTTTAACTTATTTTCTCAGTTACGTTCAGCAGACTAGATAAGATTTTATAAGGTGTGCTAACATGGGTATCTTGCAGAGTTATTCTAGACTTATAATCAGAAAGGACAATAGACCAGTGTCCCTCTTAAAGCAGGAGCCTGTGCCTTAAGCCCTTGAAGACAGGCAAGTGGCTCCTCTCAGTTCTTCATTGCTAGATGCTTTTGGGCTGATGAAGAGACAACTGTCATGACCCACTGCTGTGTGAAGGCTTCTCCCTAGTCATAGATTTTTCATATAGTGGTTTGTTTTCAAGTATATGTTCTGAGGTTTTAAGTAGATGCTGAAATTCTCTAGCACCTGTGGTTTTATGAGACAAACTCTTACTCCATAGCTCAGGCTATCCTGACCTTACTGGCTTGCCCAGACTGGTTTGAACTCACGGTGATCCTCCTGTTTCAGCTTCCAGAGTGCTGGGATTACAGGCATAAGGTGCAAGGGTTGCTGATAGTAAGATCTTTGAGGATGGAAATGCTTGTTGACGCTTGTGTTCTTTGCCAACAGAATGCTATGCACAGACTCCACTGATCCTAGTCAAAAGGTGGAATATTGATCACAGATGAGGCATTCAATATGCTGTTGCCTGTTCTCTATGGCTCTCTCCTACTCATACCTGTTTTGTTTCAAAAGCACCAGCTCAGAAGTCAAATGGCCTGGCTTGGAGTCCCTGTTCTACTTACTTGATAAGGGGCTTTTGAAAAAAAACTTTGAGCTTGGGGTTTAGTCTCTGTGTCTCAGTTTTCCCACTGTAAAATGTTGCGATGTTGGATTTTACTATGATGCTACTTGGGTTAAGATTAATTTCTCAAAAGATCAGTCTAACTTCTTTTACAAATTGTGATAAAATACGACATGGGATTTACCATCATAAGCATTTCAACCATCTAGTTCAGTCATATTAAGTACATGTGCTTTGCTAGCAACCAGTTTTCAGAATTTTCTTCTTCTTGCCAAACTTGTACCCATTAGGCAGCAATCCAGAAAGCCCCTTTCCCTTCCTCAAGTCCTTTCAACTGCCTCCACTTTCTCTCTGAATTTGGTGACCAAGTATTTCGCATAAGTGGAATCACACAGTATTTCTTTTCTTTTCTGTCTTTTTGAGACAGGGTCTCCCTGTAGCCCCAGCTGACCTGGAACTTGCTATGTAGACTAGGCTGGCCTCCAACTCACAGAGATCTGCCTGCCTCTGCCTCCCAAGTGCTGGGATTAAAGGTGTGCACCACCACACCCGGCAGTATTTCTTATTTTATACAGCATAATTCTCTGTTTTCATGCAGTCACTTTCTAGGACTAAAATCTTTCTGGTTTTTTGTTTTAAGATAGGGTCTTACATAGTTCAGGCTGACCTTGAACTCAGTATGTAGCTGAGGATGGCCTTGAACTGATCCTCTTGCCTCTACCTCCCTAGTAATGGGGTTACAAGTTTCTGCCATCATACTCAACAAGTACTAACATCTTTTATTGCTACTGTTGAATGGAAAAAATGTAAGATCTTTAGTGTTTCGTTCACACAGGGCCTAGAGTCTGGCATTTGCAGTGCTTTTCCTCCCTCACCTCCCAGAGTGCTCTGTGAGGCTGTTGCCACCCCCAGATTCTACCCTCATCCTGTCTCCATGCCTAACCTCCATGGTCCCTCTTCATTCTTTCTCTCCCTTCCTCATCAGTCCCCTCCTCCTCTGTCCAGTGGCTCAGTTGGAAGTGCCTTTTCTATGAAATTGTCACTGACCTTTCTGGATCATAGGGGACTGGCTCTTTTCTGGATTGATAGCATTTTTAAAGAATGACATCACTGTAACTGTGTTGTTTTTTAATCTGACAATGTTCATTAGGTATCATTTTATTTCTAAAAATCTACATTTTCCTTGTTTCCCCAGATAGAATATAACTTAGCATTATGAACAATATGCCTTTTGTGGCATTGTTTAGTGTGTTTAATGTAGGGAAGCCCCTTGAAAATTTACTAAAAGAGTAAACAACTATTCTAGCTGTCCTTTTACCTTTAGAGGTTTAGGGCATTTGAAAGTCTTTGCAAAACCATTTAGTTAATTTCATGAACTTGTGTGTTTTTTCTTCCCTTTCATTAGAGAGTTCCAGTGAATCTGAATGCGAGTCTGATGAGGATAGCACCTGTTCTAGCAGCTCGGACTCGGAGGTTTTTGATGTTATTGCAGAGATTAAACGCAAAAAGGCTCACCCTGACCGACTTCATGATGAACTTTGGTACAACGACCCGGGCCAGGTGCGAGTGTTTTATGCTCTTGCTATGAAGGTTGCAAGCCCACACATCACATTTACGACTCTGGGTTCAGAAGATGCATGTTGGCTGGTATTGAAATGGAATTTTACTCCCAGGGTTGTGAGTCATTTTTCAGAGCTTATTTCCTTTCAGGTTTGGAGTTCAGTTCCAAAGCTTAAGCACCAGAACAACTGTTGTTGAATCATAGTTGACATTTGTAAATTCCTTGTTGGGAGCAGGTTAGCAGTGCTGCTTCATTAAGCTTGGAATAGAAGGAAGGAGATGAATGGCAGGGAGAAAGGAACCTGTAGGTCTTTTTAAAAGCAGTTCACTTGGAAGGAATCTTGCTACAAAATAGTAAACAGTATAGTTCTATAAAATTTCATTTGTTTTTTAGTTGGTAACTGTCATGAGTTTTTGTGAATTCCTTTCCTTGTTAAGAACACGAGCTAATGACATACCTGGGCCATTAAACATTTTTGATTTTCATTTTGAGGTAATGTGCGATAGAAATTATATATAAATATGTATTTATGGTTGAGACAGGATCTCACTATGTAGTTTTAGGGCTGGCTTCAAATTCAGGAACTTTCTGCTGCAGCCTCTTAAGTAGTGGGTTATGTCACACAGTGTCTGGCTCTAAAATGGTATCTTGCTCAGATTTATATCATACAAATACACGGTCCAGACAAAAATAGTATCTGTTATGAATGTGAAATTATTAATAATAAAGCATATGCCTACTTATTTTTGTAATTTGCCATTTATGTGTTGTGAAAAGTTTATATCATTCTGTATTAATTAGAATGATCTTCTGATTCTTGTTATTTTTTATTTTTATTTTGTGTATATGAGTGCGTTGCTTGCATGTGTAAAAGTGCACCCATATCATGCAGTGCCCCTGGAGGTCAGAAGAGGGTGTTGGGTTCCCTGGAACTGGAGTTATGGACAGTTGTTGACTGCCATGTGCTGGGAATTGAACCTGGGTCCTCTGCAAGAGCAGTCAGTGAGGCCCTTAACCACTGACCCATCTCTCCAGCCTGATAATAGTTATTTTTAAAAGTGTTTTTTTTGGCCGGGCATGGTGGCACATGCCTTTAATCCCGGGAGGCAGAGGCAGGCAGATCCTCTGTGAGTTCAAGGCCAGCCTGATCTGCAGAGTGAATTCCAGGCAGCTGGAGCTATAGGGAGACCCTGTCTCAAAAAGAGAAAAAAAAAAGTTTTTTTTTTTTTCTGGGTGTGGTGGTACTCATCTTTAATTCCAGTACTCAGAAGATCTCTATGAGTTTGAGGCTAGCCTAGTGTCCTAGTTTGTTTCTTCATTGCTGTGACAAAACACTCTGACCGCTACCAACTTAGGGAAGAAAGGGTTTATTCAGCTTACATCTCCTAGGTCATAATTCATCAGGGAGCCCAAGGTAGGAACTCAGGGCAGGAACCTGAAAGCAGGAGCTGGAGCACAGGCCATGGAAGAATGCTGCTTACTGGTTTGCTCCCTTGGCCCCTGCTCAGCCTGCTTTCTTATGCTACACAGGCCCACCTGCCCAGGGGTGGCACCAGCCACAGTGGGCTGGGCCCTCCCACGTCACTCATCAAGAAGATGCCCTTCAGACATGGCCACAGGCCAGTCCAGTAGAGGCAATTCCCCAATTGAGGCTCCCTCAACCCAGGTGTGTCAAGTTGACACTAAAGCTATCCAGCACACCTAGTCTATATAGAGAGTTCTAGGCCTGCCCTACCCAGTGTGTCAAGTTGACACTAAAGCTATCCAGCACATCTAGTCTATATAGAGAGTTCTAGGCCTGCCAGTGCTACATAGTAAGACATTGTCTTTAAAAACAACAAAAACAATATTTTAAAAAATACTTAAAAAACAAAAAAGAAGTATTTTTGTTGTTGTTGATAGGATTACTATAATGGGAATGATGGACAAAAATGTATGTTATGGTGCCTTGGAATTGAGTAGAATATTTGCAAAATTGTCAATGCATTTTAAAACTCTTATTTCAAATATAGTCCAGGTTGACCTTGAACTTGTGACACTTTCTGCCTCTGCTTCTAGAGTGCTGGTATCACAATCATGTGCCATTACACCTAGCAATTTCTTTTTATTCGTTTTATGGGGTTGCATTTCATGTAATACAATTTAAACACAAGTTTATAATTCATTGTCATTTTTATTATATTTTTCAAGACTGTATACCGTCATTACAGTCTAATTTTGGAACATTTGTCTGCCCTAAAAGAAACATTTCCCCATATGTGTCTTTTTCATTGATTGTTGTTCTCTCTCAAGAAGGATCTTCCTTGGCTTCTGTGGGTTACTGTGCTGTAAAGTCAGCTTTGATGGACTTCTGTATTGTCTCGTGGTTCTGTTTCTTGTGTTTGGTTTTGTGTCTTCTGTATACTTGTAAAGGGCTGATCCAAGTGAGTGCACAGCCCCTGGTAAAGGCAACTGTGTAGGCTATTCGGTGTCTGCTTCCCTGGAGTTAGGATTGGCTCTAGGAGAGTGCTGTGCTTTTTGATGGAATGTTATTGTCTCTTATTTGCCAGCTGTTACTCTATATAATATCCTAACACAATTTTTTAGCTAGTAGTATTATTCCTCAGCTCTACCACCTGGAACTTTAGATTTCCCAAAAGGCTAAAGAAAGTTTAAGCTTTCACTTTACTATATCTTGCCAAAGTCTTACTGAGATATTTTCATTTATATTTTAATTGGGTACAATGAGTTACAAATCCCTAGAATTTTAAAGAAATATGTGTTGTGGCTAGAAAGATGACTCTGCAGTTGAAAGCACTTGCTGTTCTCGCAGAGAACCCAGGTTTTGTTCTTGGCACCCACATTGGGTGGCTTACAGCCACTTGTAGTTCTAGTTGTAGGGGCTCTGATACCTTCTTTTGGCCTCTGCCAATATGGACATTCCCCTCAGTATATAAAGGGGATTGGTTCCAGGGTATACACAGATGCCCAAATCCCCAAATGCTAGAGTCCTTTATGTAATATGGTGTATTTGCCTGTAACCTACACCTACCCTCTGTTATACTTTAAAACTCTAGATTGCTTATAATACTTAATATGGTATAAACACTACATCAGTAGTTGTTATACTATAATAGTTATGGAATGACAAGGAAAAAGAAATTATTCACATTCATTACATTTATACTGGGTAAACTCCTGAAACTGGCTTCTTTGTGTGACTGAGAGTGTGTGTGTGTGTGTATGCATGTGTCTATATGGCATGCTTGTGGAGGTCAGAGCACAAGCTTATGTGCTGATTCTCAGGTACCTTCCACCACCATTTGCAACCTTTTTTTAAATTTAAATTTTTTTTTTTTTTTTTTTTTTTTTTTTTGTCTTTTTGAGACAGGGTCTCCCTGTAGCCCCAGCTGTCCTGGAACTCACTATGTAGACCAGGCTGGCCTTGAACTCACAGAGATCTGCCTGCCTCTGCCTCCTGAGTGCTGAGATTAAAGGTGTGCGCCACCATACCTGGCCCTCTTTCTATTTTTTATTTTATGTGTATGAATGTTTTGTGTCTGCATGTATGTAAGTGCACCCATGTCATGCAATGTCCACAGAGGCTAGAGGAAGGCATTAAATTCCCTGGAATTGGAGTTACAGAGAGTTGTTAGCTTCTATATGGGTGCTGGGAATCAAACCTGGGTCCTCTACAAGAGCAGCCAGTGCTCTTAACCACTGAGCCATCTCTCCAGTCCCTACTGTCCACCTTTTGTTTAAAGTGTAGTCTCTTATTTTTTAAAAATATTTTTGTTATTTATTTTTATTTTTATTTTATTTTTGTCTTTTTTTTTTGAAACAGGGTCTCCTTGTAGCCCCAGCTGTCCTGGAACTCACTATGTAGACCAGGCTGGCCTTGAACTCACAAAGATCCACCTGCCTCTGCCTCCCAAGTGCTGGGATTAAAGGCATGTGCCACCATGCCCAGCTCTTTATTAGTTTTATTTTATGTGTATGAGTGTATTGCCTGCATGTATGTGAGTGCACACGTGTCGTGCGATGCCATGGAGGTCAGAAGAGGGCGTCAGATTCCCCAGGAACTGGAATTAAGGATGATTCTTAGCTGCCATGTGGGTGCTGGGAATTGAACTGAGGTCCTCTGCAAGAGTGGTCGGTGCTCTTAACTGCTGAGCCATCTCTCCAGCCCCTTTAAAAGTGTAGTCTCTTATTGATTTGGAATTTTGCTTTGTAGGCTCAGCTTTCAGGGATCTACCCCAGCTTTCAGGGATCTGCCCATTTCTTTTCCCCATCTTGTTATCACTGGGATACAGGCACACACCACCTTGCATAGCTTTTTGTGTGAGTTCTGGGACTTTAAACTTAGGTCTTGTGAGGCAAGCGCTTTAATGACTGAGTCATCTCCCTAGCACTGAAACTGACTGATTTTTATTTCAGCTCTTGTGTGGTCTCTGTTCTAGTTTGTTTCTCCATTGCTGTGACAAAACGCTCTGACCACTACTAACTTGGGAAGGAAAGGGTGTATTCAGCTTACATCTCCCAGGTCACAGGGAGCCCAAGGTAGGAAATCAGGGCAGGAGCAGGAGCACAGGTCATGGAGGAATGGTACTTACTGGCTTGCTCTCCTGGCCCTGCTCAGCCTGCTTTCTTATACAACATAGGCCCACCTGCCCAGGGTGGGCCCTTGCACATCACTCAATAATCAAGATGCCCCACAGACATGGCTATAGGCCAGTCCAATGGAGGCCATTCCTCAATTGAGGCTCCCTCTACCCAGGTGTGTCAAGTTGACAGTAAAGCTATCCACTACAGTCTCCTTACATATATGATCCATTCCATCTAATTGGGTCTCATGTACCTGAGCATAGCATGGGCTTCCTGCCTTCCCTTTTTCTCATGCATGCCAGCACCGTGTATGGAGTAGCCATCTTTTCTGTGCGCACTGCTTTTCACTTTCTTCTCTTTAAGCCTTTCCTAACCAACCATGGCAGCTCCAGTGGTAATCGTTTAGATGGATTTTCTTTTTCTTTTAAAGTAGTAAGCATATAATTTGTTCTCCTATTTAGAACAAGTGTTAACTTGAGATCATGGAGTGTGCTGTTTATCCCCTTATGCTTAATTTTTACTGTTCTGTCTGAGAAGCATTCAGCATTGTTCGCCTGTTGAGTAAAATGAATTAAGGTGAGTGAAAGATGTATTTTACCCTGCCTAGCACTGAGAATTTTTTTATTTTTTTTTAATTCTAGTAGGCATCTTTTTCCTCTCTGTTTCAGAGGCACTCTAATCTTCAGGTCACCTTTAAAGTACTCTGTGCCCAACTTTAGGATATGAAGTATGTTTGTGTGTATAAGAATCATTTTTTTCTGAAATAAAAAGAAGGAAAAAATGTCCTACAAAGAGGTAGGAGATGGGGGTGAGCAGTGTGCTGACACTGATATTTTCTGCTTGGCTGCACAGATAACTTGGGATTCCAATGCTGTTGTACAGTTTCCTTTTATCAGACATTATAGACAGTTTGCAGCTTTATTGGTTTTGGAACATCCGTTTAATCTTCTAACCGTGACAGCCTTCTCAGAGCCTCAGTACTCAATGGCAGTAAACCTCAGAGTTTCTGAGGCATCATCATGCCTGATGTGGATTTCCCCCAATAAAACTGAATTACATTCTGTTTCTGACAGATGAATGATGGACCACTTTGCAAATGCAGTGCAAAAGCGAGACGCACAGGAATTCGGCACAGCATTTATCCTGGAGAGGAGGTAACTGGCTTGGGTTATGATTTTTGCAAGCACTGAGGAGCCAGAAGTAAACAGATGCCATTATTATTCTTATCCCATTCCATAAAATAATGTTGTCAAAATAGTCTTTGCATATTCTTTGTTATAGGCTCTGTTATTGATAATTACAGAGGGAAAATACTTGACTTTGAGAGTAGACTGTGGAATGTCATCAGATTTGAAAGGCTCATTATTTAAATTAGGCAAGGTGTATTTGAAGTGTGTTATGTATTTTCAAACTGTATACATTGTAGTATTTTCCCCTGTTCATAAATGGTTATGACTTGCCCTGGGGGATGCTCTTATTCAAATTGTGAGGTTCACATTTTCTTCCCCTGGGGGACCTACCCAGTTTGCTACCTGGTGGTGCTTTCCTTCCACTGAAGCACTTGTTAGAATCTGTCTTTTTAGTTTGTTGTTTTCACCAACTGGGTATCCCATTCACTGTCCCCCAGTCCTGGCTTTTCACAGACTCTCTAAGCTTCATCAAGTGGGTAGGATATTTATATTGTAGAGTCATTTGTAACTACTCCTTTTTGATACTAATCAAAACTGTTCCTTCATTTTTTCCTTATCTTTGAGTTTCGTACACTGTTTTCATTAATCATAGGATTACCATTATGATTCAGCACGTTATACTTAAATGTAGACTATGTAAGTCCTTAATCTCTATTTAGAACTTGTTTGAAGCTCTTAGCTATAACTAAATGAAAGCTACAAGACTGCCTGATCATTTAAAATACTTGTCTTTAAAGGTCAGCAAGTGCAGGAAGGAATTTTGTCATCTGTGGGCATCTGTTCCATGTGCCTCAGGTTGGTACTCTGACCTGTTGATTAGGGATCCATGTCTATAACAGAAGAGAGAAGCAGGACTGAGCAGAGGGGCGGTTCAGCTGCTACATAGCCAGCCTGGCTTGTCAGAATTTTCTTTTGTTGGGCTGGAATGGCCTTCACACTTATATCCCTTTGTCTCCAGAGGAGTCTTTCTCAGAAAGGGTATGACTTTGGGAGAGGGCACTCTGTAGCTAAGGATGACCCCAGAGGAGCCATCTTGGTGAGCCAACAGCTGCAGGCTGTGTCCCTATAGCTGTGCAGTAGGCTCTTCCTGGAAAAGGAGACAGTGAGCAGTGGTATCAGCTGCATGCCTGTGGACTATATGCTACATGTTTGTTCTTGTATAGATAAAGGGACCCAGGTAATCAACTTACTGCCAATGGAGGTTGGTCTCCTCAGGAAGTATTGTCATTATTACCTGGCTAGCTGGATATTCAGTGGTGTCAGGTTAGTTTAGCTAGCTTAGTCTTACGAAATGGGGTCTGCACTATTGGGCTCACGAAGTCTCTGCTACTGTGACCACTTCATTCATGTGCCTATCCTGTCAATCTGGGATGGTCAACAGACAAGAGTGAGTGCCCTAGTCATTCTCTCTGCTTGCTGCTCTAGTGCTTCTTCTGTGGTGGCTGTTCTCTCATGTTCACCATAGTCATGTAGAAATCATTATACTCTTTCTCGTTAGCTCACTTACTAGTTTCTCATAAGACTCTCTTCATCCCTGATTTTCCCATCTTTCTTTCTGGACTGCTAACCAGCTGGTATGTCCACATGCTTCTATAGACAGTCCATATATATTCTCACTTCAAGGTACTGCTTTTTCCATACAAAGTGCCTGACCAGGACACTGCTGAAACTGTCCATTGGAGAGATTTTTTTTCCTTCATTGCTTCCTTTAAAAGCCATCTCCAGGCTGCCTGTAGTGAGCCAATTTTCTGTATGCATCCACTTTCCAACTGACTTATTCGCAAACCATGCCTAGGCTTTTCCCTCCATGTTTATCAATATATCCTTAGTTGTTGTAGAGGAAAGGAGGGTATATCTGTGCCATAGTGGTAAATAGCTAATGGGGATCTGGTTCACCTGTCCAGGCAACTTGTCTGTTAACAAGTGGTTAAGCTTGTTGAGACTGAGAGAATCTGGCTTATGATGGGCAGGTCTGGGCACGTGTTGATTTGATGTGGAAGGCCAGGCCTTCCATTCTTAGGTGGGCATGCTAGGGTGTTTTGTTTTTTTTTTTTTTTTTTTTTTTTCAAAGCATGTAATTTTTTACTGCAGATGACCTAGCCTTGGTCCAGAACCTCAGAGACCAGCACTGTGGTTCTCCCAGTGTGGTCTATCACAAATTCCTCTGTCATTCTTTCCTAGCCATGCTGTAGGATCTGCTGAATTGTGGGGTCACAGCATCAGGAGTGCTTGTGCTTAGCATGGAGCTGCTAAGGTCTTTCTTACTTTCTTACTTGGACCACTTGATTCTGGTAGACTTTTGTGCCACTGTGTACATGGGCTGGGTGTGGGTTCTGCTTTGTGAGTCTGAGGAGAACCTCCAGGTGTTGTGCTTTTTCTTTGTTGTAGGAGGTTGAAGATGGAGTAATATGTTTTCTTCTTTGGAGGGGATGACTTAGACATTCCCAGATCACTGGACTCTTGAACATTGTTGAACCTTTGTGGGTGTTTTCTTTCATTTTCTATAGTGCACATGGTCTGAGGAGCACAATATGACAGAGATAATGGAACAGTGTGACCTGCAGTATGCCTGGACAGTTGGAAGCCCTATAAATATTATGATAGATATAATATAGCCCTGGGGCAAAACCCTGAGTGTCAGAAGCGAGACATTCTGATCTTTATTTCTAATTGGGATAGAAATGAACACATTGACCAAATGAGTTGCTGCCTACTTTGTACCTGGTCATGTTAATCTCCTCTTGAGCCATAGTACCTTTTGCATAGCAGCTGTAGTCAGAGCAGCTATTTGGTGGAGTAGTCTATGCTCACCCTCCAGGATCCTTCAGGGACTCACTGATGAATTCAGCAGAATTATGATAGGTACCAGCACCCCTGTGTGCTTCAGATCCTTAGGGATGGCACTGATCTCCATTGTTCCTATAATGGAATATTGTTTTTGGTACTTGGGTTGGAAGGTGGTGAGTGGCTTCTGCATGGTCTTCCTATAATAATAGCTCTTTCTCCACATTAGGATTTGATGTGTCATCTGCCGAGCTATATCAGTTTGAATGCTATAGGCAAGAGACTGAGAAATGACCATTGGGTACACCTTAGGTAGATTCACTAAGCCAGGCCGTGGCCAAGATTCCATGTAACTTTGGTTTCATTTTGTCTATTCTTTCTGAGGTGCAAGGATGGCACGTCCAGTCTCCATGTACCAATGATCATTCAGTTACTGTGTCGGGGACTTGTTGAACTATCTGATTTTCTCCTTTTTTCTGTGTACAGTATCTGGAGTAAATGGCCATAAACACTTTGAGAAAAGATTTGCATGTTACAATGTATAATATCCTTTCTCCTAGAATCTGGTCACCTCTGCAGCCAGTGGGTTTCAGTATAAAATCCTTGATCAGACTTGGAACTGGGCAGGGGATAATGTGACTATTCACCTACCTTTAGCCTCTTGCTTATCTATTCTTCATTTTTTCTGTTTGTACAGACTGCATAGTACTTTTGTTGATTCCCCACTTACTTTTTACTTAGGGACAGCATGTTCTGTTAACTATTTCCATCACTGAGACCCTTTGCCTGGTGCTTTGACTTTATTGGTCATAATGATAATTATGTGATATGCCTTCTAGTAGTTTAGCCCTAGCACTTGGTCTCTCTTTTTTCCGATTTTACCATTCCTGTTGGTCTTTATAGACTCTCCTCTTTGATTAGTCTTGGCTGGTGGAGGAGGCTACCTCTGATCTTGGTGATGCGCTGTTCCTCCCTAGCATAGTTCTATCGGTGTGTCCTCTGGGGATTATCTGTATATTTTCTAATTGGAGATAACTCCCTCCATTCCAGCATGCTTACTGCTTTCCTTCAGTATCTGGATGGGTGCCTCTAGAATTTCAACATCACTTAGGTGGGCCATTGCTTTTTAGAGCTACCATTATAAGGAGTTGCTAATTACCTCTTGATGGTTTCCTGAGTTCTCCAAAGTCAATATACTCTTCTTTAAACTGAATCATGTCCCTCACCTGATCTTTGCAGATTCCCCTGGCTGCTGGTACATGCCAATTACAATTATTTCTTGTAGCTCCTTTGGGAAGTAAACTTTCTTCAAAGCAGCTATTCAGCTGGGTGATGCTAAGAAATAATTCTGATTCTAGGTCTCTTGCCAAGGAAGCAGATTGATTGGGTACTGTGTGGGGTGGGGTGTAGGGTGGGCATTGGTGCCTTACAGGATCTTCCATTGTTTTTTGATACAGGTGAGTGATTGGTCTTAACAGGGAGGGATGTGCCATATCTGCAGAGTCAGAAGGTTCAGAGGAGTCTGGGGAGTTAAAACCTAAATGTCCATATCCCAGGTTTCCAGGGCCCTGACCTTGGCATAACAGACCTTCCTTGGCTGTCATTTGTCCTTGAAGTATGGCTGTTTTCACAGGTAAGCCCTGGCTTGTTCCTGGCTTTCTCTGATGTCTCACTGCAAGTGATGGGAGGTTCTTTTTATGCCTTCAAGAAGATCTCTGGCTTTCACATCTGCCTTCCAATTGCCCTTTATTCTCCACTGGTACATTTCTGTAAGGCAGTGGTTCTCTCAGTGAAGTCTTCTGATTAGTTTTGTCTTAATATGGAGCTTGTTGGAATTGTATGTTGTCACCCTTCTCAGCTACCAGGGAGAGAGTACTCTGAGAGTACTTTAATAAGCCCCCCAGATGATTCTAGGCAGACCAAGGATTGAGGACTGTGGTAGAGAATATGGTATTTAGCAATTGTCATCCATTCCAAGAGGTCCATGGCCCTTATTCTTGTAGGTACCATTTCTTCTATAGTTCACAATACTTAGTATATTGCCCCAGTTTCCAGTGGTATGGCCTCCCAATTCTCAGTGCTTGAAAATTTTAATTATCTGGCCACCTGGTTTCAGGGATTGTATAAACCACGGCTACTACCAGTGATAGAGTCTTCCTTACTAGTTGGATGGTAAGTGCTTCAGCTCCAGAATGCCGTCTTTGTTCTTAGCTTGCTTGTTCTTGGTACTACTTGCTACATGTCAGGTTCTCTAGATGCAGAGCTAAGGTGTCTCAGATGTAGGGTTGGTGTGATGCAGCCCAGCTTGGGATTTCAGGATGGCCCCTCAGCACAAATGCAGTTTTCTTAAACCTTTGAGCAATCATTTCAAAGAAGAGCTTAAACTCCCTTTATGAAGAAATACTTGATATCTGCCTTAGGTACAAGAAAGAAGGAAGGATCTCTCAAATTCTGAGAACAGTTTCAGATGGGGACTCTTCTGGTCAGTCATTTGTCTGGTGACCATCTGACCTATAGTAGTTATGTGTTTTGTAAGAGGGTTGCTAGGATAAATGCCTGAGCCTTGGGTGGTGCCTAAGGTTCATTTGTGATGTGAATTGGACTGCAAGGGAATTGTCACTCTTAGGGAAGCTGGCTATCTGGGACTGCCTGAGAGTACTGAATATGATAGTTGGAGACAAGGAGGAGATTCTTAGAAGCAAGTGAGTCATCACACTCAGTTCTGTGGGAGACTCAGGAGAGTGAATGGTGACTGGCCCTGACAGAAAATTTGGTGAAGCCATACAGAATGTTCCACGGTTGACTTGGTGGTTTGATTCTGCTTTTTGACCTGTTTCTGCTTCTACATACACCTTGTGTTCCTACTTTGGAAATTACTACCAGGCACAACCTGCCAAAATGGTTCTTAAGACAATTCTATTCTCCCAATTGTGGGTCAGACTCTGTCAGAGAATGGTCTGGATGCTGTTGGAAGGTGGGAGTATGCCCTTGGTTTGAAGAGCTGACTGCCAGGTGGTGTGTCTCTAGTTCCTGTTGTGTAGAAGTATCACTGGTTCTGAAGAGTCCTAGCATCATGATGCTATGGAACAAGAAGGCTAAGGAAAAAATCTGCAAATTGTACATTTATTGTTGTCTGTCAATGGGAGACTTAGAAGAGTAGCTTCTGATGGACTGCAGGAATCATCACCAAATCCTACCCCAACTCATCATTGCCTGTACTCCTGCTAAGACAGTATGACCTCTCATAGAATGCCACCCTCTAGGATGCCTGCTGGGGGCTATTGGTAGGAGCTCCTGGGTAGTAGGTCTAGGTCTCCCAGACTCACCTCAGTTGCATCTGCTTAGCTGATCAGGAACCCTGTGAGCTGTGGAGTGTTGATGCTGAGTGAGGCACTGTCAGTCACCATTTGGGACAAGTTAGGAAGCAGCTGCCACATCCACCTTTAGCTCAGATGAAAAAGTTCATCCTAGATACCACTGAGTCCCCAAAGAGGCACACCTCTCTATGGGTGCCTTGCTCAAGGACCTGATGCAGGGATCAGAAGGCACTGCTTGTTCCTAGCAGGATGTGGTTTGTAACTCACAGGCCAAAAAATATAATAGCTGTAGTCAACTCCAAAACTGGTAAGAATGTTATTGCAAAGCCCATTAGGTTTGTCCTGGAAGGGCATATGCACATATTCCTATACTCTGCTGCCAGTAGCTTTTTGTGGCATGGTGAGTAGCATATTCTAGCATGAGCCTCCTACCATTAAGGGCTTAAAGTAGTGATGTAAAGTTGAGGAAGGAAGAGAGCTACTAAAGCATTTAGGCATGCTCCAGTGGCTGTTAGTAACTGCCATCTCCATGGCCCAAGAGCACCATTGGAAAAGTCCTGATCAGGCCACCCTGGAATCAGATGTTTTACAGTTATTTTTAAGACACCCCCCTCCCTACTGGCTAAACATCTGTGGATCTGATAGCATAACTTCTGAAGTTAATCAGACTCTGTAGGGTCTTACTGCTCTGGAAAAAAAGACCAAAGTATAACCATCCAACCAAGTGTTCACAGCAACAGCAGGCCAATCACCAATGGGAAGAGACCCAGTCCAGCTGTTTGCAGTGTGAATAGAGCAACCTCTACTGGTAGTTATGCCAAATGGGGCTCCCACATTGGCTCCTCTGGCAGGTCTCATGCATTCTTCCATACCCTCCTGGACTTCCATACCCTACTTGGACTGAATAGCACCAGATTATGCCAGTAACAGGGTCCTGCTGTATGCTCTGGGGATCCAGCTGTTGTCTCTCTGGCATCCCACTGATGACAGTCACCCATTCACTGAGATCACATGGTGGAGAACACCACCTACACTGATGGTCTTACTGAACACTGGGCCACAGGATACTCTGATCCCCACTTCACCAGTGCATACAGGTTAAGGTTGAGAACTGGTGTCTGGCCACATCTGTTTATTGATTTAGTTAATATATGGTAAAGTGAATAGTTTTTTTTCCTACCAATCTGTGATGGAGCATACATAAAAGCAGTTGTCAGATGTGAATATGACAGAACAGTTAATTTTAAAAGAAAACTATTTTGCTTTATCTATTTTCATTTTGTTCCTCTAGGCAATCAAGCCCTGTCGTCCTATGACCAACAATGCTGGACGACTCTTCCACTATCGGATCACCGTCTCCCCTCCTACCAACTTTTTGGTAAGTTTCTATTAAAATCACATATAACCTAGGATGACCTGGAACGCAACTATTTGCCCAGGCTGGCCTCTAGCTTACAGCATTTCTCCTGCCTCAGCCTCCAGAGTGCTGGGATTATAAGCATGAGTTGCCATTCTGGGCTTTGATTCAGTTCTTACATGGTCTTTATTATAAAAATCTTTATGTTGATTAAATTGACCTTTATCATAATGATGTTTATTTCAGCTTCTCTCCTCACTATATTATTGTGTTGGTACCACACAATAGCCAGTTTTATAGCAGCCAGTGAATTAAGGAACTATGCATTGAAGTGATGGAGTGGAAGCGTAAAGTAGGGTATTTCCACATCTTTATTGTCTTGTGAACCAAACCAGAAAATCTGTTGTTTATTTCTGACAAAAATTTATGAAAATATAATGTATAACAGTATTATGATAATAAATGGAGCTGCAGGGTCGAGCTGGATTGTGAGGCCTTCAGGGTCTTCTGATCTTTCCAAAGTGATGAGCAGCCTTTCCTAACTGTGCGTTGCTGTGCTATTATCTTGTTCCTATTAGGACTTCTGTTTGCTCAGAAATCCAGTAGTAAGACTAGAACTGGTAGTGTTGTGGATCAAAGGAACTTAATTCCTAGAAAATGAAGTTATACATAGCCTTTCATTTTTCTTTATGGTACATATAATGAGCAACATTGATTATTTTAATAGATAAATATTACACTTACTATCCGAGGTGAGAGAATTTCATTCAGTCAGAGGATTCTATTTAAAGTTATTCTTTTGGGTAAATTTTCGGATATTTTGAAAAATGTTAAGTCTATAAAGTTGCTTTTATTTCTGCTTTTGGTAACTTGGTGTACAGGTGTGCTTCGGCACATGCAAATCATGTCATTTAGTAAATCCCGTGTTGTGTTCTTGCTTACTTTTAGACCGACAGGCCAACAGTTATAGAATATGATGATCATGAGTATATCTTTGAAGGATTTTCCATGTTTGCACATGCCCCACTGACCAATGTGAGTATGTTCCAGGTGGCTCCTTTCCCTTCCTTTGACCGCCTTCCTTCCCTGCCTTTCCTTTATCATTCCTTCCTCCAAATCAAAGCACATCCCTTTCCTTTTTTTATGGCATTACTCTGCATCCCACTGCCTGAGCTGTAGGAAGTTGGCAGCACTGTGGTTAGGTGGGGCTGTGAATCCGTGCTAATGAGTTACAGGTTTGGGCCACATTAAATGGTGTACATTTTGAGAGTGAAAGATTTTCAAGGAGGATAAACTGTGGAGTAACGTGTTAAAACTATTTTGGGTTGGTTGTCCTTCAAAAGAAAGTTGGAAAGTTTTAAGGAATAAAATATCTCTGAGCAAAGGAAAGAAGCAGGACTTGCTCAGGACACCTGGAGCCTGAGCTAACTTCACACAGCTTTCTGCTTTTGAATCCTAAGACTATGTCTGCTTTCTGAGACATGGTCTGACATCAAGATTCATGTTATTTATATGGGTATTAGATTAGGGAAGCTTTTCTGGGAATCAGTTCAAATGGAAGTTCTGTATCTGGGTGTTGAAATCTTTCCGCTTCAAAGCTGGCAGCCTTGAGAATTGCCCTGCTTATCATTCCATCTTTGAGTTGGACAGTGAGTTGGATGCAGCTGTGCTGGAGAGAGCATAGCAGTGCATTTTTGTTTCTGTGTTTGACTGTTTTGCTTGCATGTATGTAAGTGCACCATATGCAGGCAATGCCTACAGTCAGAAGAGGGTATAGGATCCCCTGGAACTGGAGTTATAAACGGTTGTTAGCTACCATGTGGGTGCTGGGAACAGAACCTGGGTCCTGCAAGAGTATTCAGTGCTCTTAACTGCTGGGCACTCTCTCCATCCCGACTTTGTTTTTTGAGACAGTGTCTTACTATGTACTCCAAGTGAGACTTAAACTTACTATTAGGGATTTTTTTAGAGGGGTTTTAAGTTCACCGCAAGAGTAGAAAAAAGGACTTTGAAAAAGTATTTTATTTATTATTTTTATTTTATGTGTATGCGTGTATTGCCTGCATGTAGATAAGTGCACCCGTGTCGTGCAATGCCTGCAAAGGACAGAAGAGGCTGTCAGATCCCTGGAACTGGAGTTACAGACAGTTGTTAGCTGCTATGTGGGTGCTGGGATTTGAATCTGAGACCCAGGTCTTCTGCAAGAACAACCAGTGTTCTTAACTGCTGAGCCATCTCTCCAGCCCCAAAAGGACTTTTTAAAAAAAAGATAATCTTTAAAAACTTTCCCAGAACAAAGTTTGGCACTGAGAAGTGGTCAGTGTTAAATTAGTAAGTTTTTATCATCATGAAAAGTAAGACCAAAAAAAAAAAAATCCCTGACCTTGGCATATACTGTATATGTTGAATTTCTTAAAACTTGAGGATTTTAGTCTATGATGAGGAGCCCTGTCATTTATATGAGAGATGTTGATAATAATCAATTGAGTTTTAAGTTGAGCATTCTGCGGTTCATAGAAATTAGAGTCAACCTCTTGAATTTGAAATAGGCTTCCAAAAAGCTTTTTAAATTGCTTCACTGATCTGATTCACTTCTTGTAGACAGAACACATGAGTAAGAAGGGCATGCCGATGATAGTAACGGTAGGCTCTTGACCAGGACTGCTCTGGCAGGTAATCTTAAGGTCTTGAAGTGGTTTGAAAGCTTTGTTGGCTAGTATATAGCAATTTTATTTTTTCATGTAGTACATTTGTTTTTTTTGTTTTGCTTTGTTTTGTTTTTAATTTAAAAAATAATTTTTTTAGAAGAAGCATTTCATTACAGCTTTAACATACTCAATAACAGTCTCCAGAGCAAAAGGCTGCCGACAACACAGAGGATAGTAGCAGAGATATCAGAGTATAAGGGCTCTAGTGGTGGGGAGGGAGGCTATGGGAGGGTGCCATCTGGGAAGTAGATGTATAGTTGAATAAGATGGTTTGGGATGTTCTGTGTGATACACACACACACACACACACACACACAAATCAACAAATTTTAAAAAATGAAGTATATTTGAGGAGTAAGTATAAAAATTTACGTCACATTAATTAGTAGAGGTGATAAACATTACCATTGAAATCTACCCGATGACTTTACATCTATACTCAGGTGCCAAGGATCTGAGTCTAAC